GCAAGAGAATTCCTCACCAATGCAGAAGAAACAAGTTCTGGGGGAGTTTTACAGAACAGTGAGAATGTGGGGATAAAAGTTTTCAGAGTAATTATTTCTGTGATAACTGAAAACAGCTCGAGGATAGTTCTTCCAGTTCTGACTACAGAAACAGGATCTGAGAACACAGCCACAGTGTTTTTATACAACAACACCGGGCAAATAACTCAGACTAAAGCACACTTACTTAACTGGTCTCAGTTTTAAGCTGTTTCATACCCTTTGGTGGTAAGCAGTGTTAGAGGACCATGCAAGTAACATCACCTTCTCGTAATTTCTAATTGCTGTATTTTCACAGTAAAACATTTATGCTTCTGAAGGGCAACAAGTACCACAATTCTTCTTATCTGCCTTTACCTTTATTAACATGCATTTATAATAATTTTTTTTAAAAAGTTTGGTACGTATGCGTTACCAGACCAGTCAAACTACGGCTCTTAATTTTGAGGTTACAAAAAGGAAAAATTGTTTGCCAAAGCTCCTGTAGAGGGTTAGGGATGGGCTGGCCACTAAATGCTGACAGATGCTCCCTAATCCCTCGCCCTCTCCAAAAGGAAAGAGAATAAGGCAGTGAGACTTACAGATTAGAAAACTAAAACAGCCTTTATAAAACAATAATAGTACTGATAAGGGAATAATGAAAATAATTAAATACATACAAAACTGGTATCAAACCCAACTCCTCCATGCCCCCCAACAGCAATCCCCGCTGATGCTGCAGAGCAGGCAGGTGCTGGGGAAGCCCCAGGCTCAGCAGCAGAGGGGATAAGGACACAGCAGCTGGATTCTGGAACTCAGGATCAAAGGCCTATCAGACAGACTATGGCCATTAGAGCAAGAGAGCTTAACCCTTGTGATCCCTCAGATTTATACTGAATATGACATATACGGAATGGAATACTCTTGTTGGTCACCTGTCCTGTCTGTTCCTCCCCTTTTACTTCCCGGCACCCCAAGCATGGCACAGAGGAGCCAGCAGTGGCCTTGGTCACTACAGGAGCAAGTATCAGACAGTCTTTCTGCACAGCAGTAACTACAAACATCATGTTACCACTTCTAGTAGCAGTTAACACGCTGTTAACTTCAGAAAATGCAGTCTCTTAGAAAAGACTGAGCTGAAAAGTAAAATCACTGACCAGAATTGGCTGTTTAGCTCAAACCAGGACAACATCCTTTCTCCTTCCTGCCTATCCAGCTCTTGCCTTCTCCCCTTCAACTTTTACCTCAATCTTACAATCACTCTACACCCATCACCTGCCTCTCTACAACCATCCTAGCGCCCACACCTTTGTAAGATTTCATCTTGTAACTTGAGAGACTGGGGTCTGAAAGCGCCAGGATAGAAGGAGCATCCTTCAGCAAGGTCACATCTCTTTCTTGAAACATAGTACCTTTAAATGTTTTCTTATTCTGGGCCTGCCCTTAAAACATTTTCCAGATCCTTGGAGAGGAACAGCATCCTTCAGCAAGGTCATGTCTCTTTCTTGAAACATATTATCTTTAAATGTTTTCTTACTCTAGGTCTGCCTTTAAAGCATTTTCCAGAACCTTGAAGAGGAAAGTAAGTACACTTTCAAGAAACTTTTAACTTGTGATAAATGAGGGGGAAAAAAGCCAACGCCCTCCAAAAATGCAAAACAAACCAACACCCCCCACCATAATTTTTTTTAAAATTCCAAATGTAAAAATCTGCATAGGCAATTTTTGTTTCTAGATAAAATCTGCTTTGCATAACTGAAAACTGAAGTGCAAAAACCAGAAATGACTGTGCATAAAAGCTTTCTGAAATACCATAAAAGAAATCCACCCAGAAACACCACATCTCAAACAAAGATGAAAGGAATACCAAGAACATTATATCATATTTGCACATGAAAAAGCAATAGCACACTACAAAACTGATTTTAAAAAAATAATAAAAGATCAAGGTGTAATCTTTGACAGAGACAATGGAGGGATCTGGACAGGCTGGACTGATGGGTCAAGGCCAACTGTAGAAGGTTCAACAAGGCCAAATGCTGGGTGCTGCACTTGGGCAGCGCTACAGGCTGGGGGAAGCGTGGCTGGAAAGCTGCCAGGCAGAAAAGGACCTGGAGATGCTGGTGGACACCCGGCTGAACATGAGCCAGCAGTGTGCCCAGGTGGCCAAGAAGGCCAAGGACATCCCAGCCCATGTCAGGAATAGTGTGGCCAGCAGGAGCAGGGAAGCGATGGTGCCCCTGTTCTCGGCACTGGTGAGGCCGCAGCTTGAGTGCTGCGTTCAGTTCCGGGCACCACACTATAGGAAAGACATTTTGATGCTCAAGCGGGTCCAGAGAATGGCAACAAAGCTGATGAGGGGTCTGCAGAGCATGTCTTATGAAAAGTAGCTGAGGGAACTGGGGTTGTTTAGTGTGGAGAAGCAGCAGCTTAGGGGAGATCTCGCCACTCTCCACAACTTGCTGACCAACTGGTGCTGGTCAATCTCTCCTTCCAGCAATAGGATGAGAGGAAATGAGCTCAAGCTGCGTCAGGCAGATTGGACATTAGGAAAAATGTCCTTACTGAAAGAGTGGTGAAGCACTGGAACAGGCTGCCCAGGGAAGTGGTGGTGTCACCATCCCTGGAGGTGTTCAAAAAACATAAAATGTGGCACTCCAGGACATGGTTTAGTGGTCATGGTAGTGTTGGGTTAATGGTTGGACTTGATGATCTTAGAGGTCTTTTCCAACATTAATGATTCTATGACTTCAAAGGTTGAGTTTTTCTAAATTCATTTAGAAAAATTCATTTAGATTTCTGTATTTCAGAATGACTATAATTATAGCAAGACTAGTTACATTTGTATCTTTAGTTCCCTTTACACACAGCTGAAGAATTCAGAAAGAGTATCAATAAGAGCTTTAAGAAACATTCAGAAAGGAGTACAAAAGTTTCATATATCCCTTTCACATTCAAGGGATCAAAATTCTCAGAAAAACAGCAAGCAATCTGTAAATAGTGGTACACCAACATCCCTCACATGGACTAACACTTAACAAGGAAAATATAATTCGAGTAACTTTTTCTGTAATTAACAACTGCTAGCTGCTCATCTAAAACAACACAGGAAAACATGGTGAATGAGTTTCAAAACTAATAAAACTGCATCTCTCTTGCAAAAAAACAACAGTTAAAAACCCCAGAGGAGTGTATCACAAGCTAAAGTGACTCATCACATAATCTAGAACTACTCTGAGTTTAACATAAAGCAAGTCAACACACCTAGAAGTCACTACTTGTAATACCGAGTGCTTACTGGTTTTGATTAGATATTTTGAATGCTTGCAAACATTTTAGCTATCAAGTCAGATTTGCTTTCTCCACCTTTACAAGAGTTTGCCCTTCTACTACTAAACGTTTTCTCCAACTAATTTGAAATTATCAGCCCTGGACCACAACTTGCAAGAAAAAAAAAAAAACACCAAAAAACCACAAACAAAAATTTAACAGGAAACCTCCAGGAAAACCAAGAGGCACATTAAAGAAGAAAACGTGAAACAGCTCTTGCGCTCTTCAAGGCTCTTAACCACTACAAAAATTTAGAACAGCCTGAAACTTCCAACTCAGTCTCCTCTCAACAGGTCAAAGTCAGAAGTGGAGGCTTTGGTAAAGATATTGGGATGTTTCCTGACACAATGCCAGAAGAGAAGACCCCACTACACTAGTTGTACACAGTTTAAACACAAATATCCAGCTCAGAGGAACTTTTTGTGAACTCAACACAGCTGAGTCAGTAGGAAGATTATCAATTTCTGCGTTGCTGGATTATTTCAAAGTTCAAGTTTCCCAAAAAGAGTAACATTAAAGTATTTTTAACCATATGATTTTATACCCACAAGACATCATTATCTATGCTTATGAGTAAGCCTTAAGAAAATTTAGTGGCCTTTAAATCAGTCATGTGTAATTCAAATCACAGCTGCATAATAGGAAGTGCAATTCAGAATTTAATCCATTAGTGAAATTTAACTATGATCTATGTTTACAAAACTTATTTATACATGCTATTCAAGTACAGCCAGATGTAAGGTAAAAGGACATTTTAAAAATGCTATGAAAGACAATATTAAAGAGGTTTACTTATTTTGAGACAAAAAAGAAAATATCTAACTGATCAGGAACACTCCTGACTTAATCTTAAACAAAAACTACATCCAAGACAATTATTGCTAGCCTAAATTTGAAATCTAAACTATAAAGAGTATACAGCCAGAGCCTACACTACCCTGATATAATAATTTTTAAAACAGTAAGTCGAAAAATAAGTAACCAAGCATAAAGACTAAACTAAAATGTAGATATTTTTCAAAATGCCACGTTATTAGAAACCCACACTGGGCAGACATTTTGTTCTTTATTTTGTTTCAGGTACAGGTAGCACAGCTTTCAACTTGATTACTTGTTTGTCCGCACTACGAAAATGCAGCAGTCAGTAAAACCACTTTACAAAGTTTCCTCATGCTCTTGTTTTAGAGCTCCAGGTAGACAAGTGAAAATTAAAAAGAAACCACTCCTTTCATTCACCAGCCCTAAACTTCATTCCAACAGCCGGATCTGCAAGAACTGAAAGAACCAGTTCTACCCAAGAACTCGTAAAGCACCTTTTTTAAAAATAAATAAATATATATGCATGTTACAATTAACAAAAAAGAATCTGTGGAACAAATTCTGCCTTCGGTTACTAAGAGAGACTGCACATGGACATAGAGAGGTGAAAAGAACTGAAACACTGAATAGCTGATTAGGAAGACAAACCATATCATTCTCTCAGGTTTGCTAGTTCAGAGCAAGTTAACTAGAAACTTGGACAAAAATCAAACAATGCTGCATCAAAATTTTAAAGCACCCATTTCAAAATAGGGTGCTACCCCGGCATATTTTGTCTCTTCCCTTCTTACAATGCACCAGAAGTCGTAAATAAAATTTAAATCAAGACTTACCTTCTTATCTTCTTTTATTTTTTGGGTTTTCTTTTTCATTTTTTTATCATCCAATTCTTGATCTGATGTAATAGCGGGGTTATCTATGCCACCCTTCCATGTTTCAACAGGTGAAAGAAGTGGGTCTTCTTCACTTCCACGATGTCTTCCTTTTCTTTTAGTTTTAGAGGTGGTAAAAGCCTCATCATCACTTGCATCCGAATGTGTTCTCCTATAGTAAGACTTAGCTTTGCTGAACAGAGTCTTAGACTTATATTTGTATTTCGAAGGTCTTCTTTCCCCGTGACTTTTGGATATTCTATCAGAAAACCCATTTTCTTCCTCACCTTGGGTATTTATAACAATTGAGTTTCGAACTTTAATAATCCGATTCTGACTGTCATCTGGAACTGCGTATATATCATCTGCAAAGCCCTTATGTTTGAAAATAGTGTCAATAGGTTCAGCATAGTTGTCAGATTGGTCTGGATCTTCTGGTGGTGCCGCGGGCACTCGAGAAGGCTGTTTCCTGGGGTTTTTGCCAATACCTGCTTCAATTGTTTTCAGGAGGTTAGGATCCAGTTTTTTCACATTTGTTCTTGGAACGAGCGGTTTCGGTTTTATTGGGGGAGGCACTTTATGGTTGCGTTCATGGTCATGACAATTGAGCGGTGTACTGTGAACAGGGTACTCATTTCCTTCCAAATCCAATCGGTATTTTGAACGGTCACTAGGTGCTGGGAGTAACCTTACATCATCACCAATTGGACTGTAAGGTGGTGGTCCCTCAGTATCATCCTCTGAATCTGGATAATTATAGTCAAGGGAACTTCCTCTGGGAGATCTTGGAAAAACATCTTCACTTGTATGTGTTGTTTCCCTTGTGCTGTCTGTCATATAAGAACTTTCAATCATGTTTTTCTTCTCTAACACGTCACTGAAGAACAACGTGAAAACCTCAGTTTGACGATGATATTGAGATAACGAATACAAAGCTGTAAACTTCGCTGTAATCTCTGTTGCTATGTGTTCTCCTTCAGTCATGAGTTCCTTGATTGCTTCATTCTCAAAGAAGTCTGCCTGGCTATCAGTAACAGCCACCAACTGGACAGGAATCGTATCCTGAACTTCAGAAAGAAATGCCCGAAGCATTCCCATGGACGCCTTTCGCTTTGCGGAGTAGACCAGTATATATCCATGCACAAGTTCATCTTTCCTTACACCAATTGAAGAATGGTACGATAATATAGTTATCTGTATTCTACGCCTCTTTTCACCTATTATTTTATCAAGCATCAAGGAATTATTTTGGCCAGCCTGAGCAGCACTACAGGAGTGAGAGTCAAGGAAGGGTGAAAGAATAAGATCCACACTGAATGGATCTCCACACATGGCACACATGACGATTCTTAAGTCAGCTTCTGAGAGATCCTTAATGGTGGGAAGTGGACTTACAACATCAAAATTGTGTTTAACTGCTTCCAGTACTCCTCTCAGAGCTTGTTTTATTTGGGTCTCGTTAAATTTGCGCGGATATGTACCAGCAGGCACATCTACGAAAGGACACTGTAATTTGTTGGCCAATTGCTGTCCCTGATGTCTCAGAATAGGTAGATTCTTGCTAACGCTGTCCCTCTGGTTAGCGAGTATTAACGTAAATGGAAGATTAGCCATATACTTGTCTCTCCTTATCTGAGATGCTTCAGCCCTTATTTTTGCAATGCATTCCCCAATAAAATTCAGTGATTCAATAGAGTTAAACACACAGAAACAACCATGTGGTTTGAAGGCTGAGGTCCACAACTGAGTGAGCAGGTACGGGGATTTTGCATCAACTGGCCTAAGATCTAGCTCATATATTTTTCCATCTAATGCATATTCATCATCAGTGGATTGTGTCCGAATTTCATTTGCCAATTCTTGTGCAAGGCCATCCTTGCCCAAAATGAAAAGATTGACTTTATCAATGTTGGCACTATCGTGGTACAAATTTGAGCGGCCATGGTCTAGTTGCAGAAGACTGTTGGCAAGTAACTGCTCTACTTTAATGTCCGTGCAGTTTTGGCCACTGAGACAAGTTTCTTTAGTTGGGTGATAAACAAATCCTATGTGTTTAAGGAGAAGAGATTCTCTATCAGGTGCAAGTTTCTGTAAAGCTTTGTATCTAGGTTCTTCACTCAGAACTGCATGAATTTCACTCATTTTATCTGAACTTGGTGTTGCATTAAGATCCAGGTCATAAAACAGCTCTGAATGTTCAAAAAGCATTTCCTGAAACTCCTCTTTGGCTTTTTCAACAATCTCCCTCTGATGCCTACCATACACTTCCTTACTATCTGCATCAGTGATGTATTTGAATGCTTCGTCCTCTACCACAAAACATATAACTTCTTCCCACGGCTGCCCAGGTGAAATGAACTGGATTTTCTCAAGAGTTTTTTTGAACTTCTCCTTCATTTCCACCCTCCTTTTTTCAGATATGAGATGCTGCACATGGTTTTGATAAACTTTTTCTGCCTCTAGCGTAGTGAGAAGGTCAAATGGAATCCTTCTGTCATTCACTTTATCTATATGGTCAGTTTCATCCCAGGGTGTTTTTTCCAGCACTACAAAACAGGACTGGAAGTCAGGCCTTTTCTCCATTAGCTTCAAGGCTTCTGACCAGCTCAAGTGTTCAATCTCATCAAGATTGGACAGAAGAGTATTAAGAGCTCTTGGCAATGCATTAATGTATTCTTCTTTTCTTTTTCTAATATGTTCCTGTTTAAGCTGCTCTATGTGTTTTGAAAACGTATTTTTGGCCTTTTTTGTTCCTTCCAAATTTATGTACTCCTCATAATCAGGGTGGTTTTTCAGTTTATTACTAACAGTTTTCCAGGTTGCATGATAGTCTCTCACAGTTTGGACAAGTTTTTCAAACTTATCCGTGGCTGTAACAACTAGCTGTCTTTGAGTTTTATAGGCATCCAGATAGGGGATTATTTTAGGTTTACCACGAGTTTTATCCATCATTTGTACCAGCGCAGTAAAACATGTCTCAATATTGACATTGAATCTTGCCGACGTTTCCACTACCACAAGGTTCTTCTTATTCGAAGCAAAGGCCTGAACCTCTCGCAGATAATGATCCACACATTCATCACATTTCGTTGCTGCTATTATTATGGGCTTTTTAGATTTTGAGAGCTGGATATAGAGATTATTCACAAATTTAAGTTGATCATCAAACTTCCTGTTGCATCCTTGGCTTACGTCAATGCACAATAAAAACCCATCTATGCTTAATTTCCCTTCAGGCATTTGTTTTTGCTCAAAGTCTTGCTCCAAGCCTAGCTGATCTGTGCAAATGTACATTAGTTTCTCTGCTGACTGCAGTTTGGAGGCAGCTGCACGTTTTATATACGGTTGTAAATTGGTACTCCGATGAGGCAAGAAAGTCTGATCATCAATGAACTCGGTCTGTTCAATTACATGAATTCTGCACTCAATTCCATCCTCACCACTTTGTGTTACGTCACCCCAGTACAAAAAGTGGTCATTGTTAACAACTCTTCCTCCAAAGTCAATTGTGCTAAGCACAGAGGTATGCTCAGGATAATATTCATCTGCTTTTGAACGAACGAATCTATTGCACAAACACGACTTTCCAACTCCACAATTACCTTTATCCTTTTCAGTTCCAGACAGTCCAACAACACTAATAGCATAAGATGGGGGACGTGGCTCTTTGTTTTTTGCCATCATAACTTTCCTCTCATCCTTTTGCAACTATCAAGGTAAGTATATGTGGTTTTCATTCTGGAGAGGTTCCTACAAATTTAAGTTGTATATCCAGGGTTCCAGAAAGAGCTTTCAGTTGTTCCTGCTTCAACTTGTCATTTAGAGAACCTCAGATAACCAGGATGAGGAGGATCATCTTCCTAAAAAAAAAAAAAACAACAAAGAGGGAATAAAGATTGCAGGTATTTCCTTTCTCAAGAACTTTTGCTTGCTCACTCTGAAATTGTTTTCTATGTACATTAAAATTTTACAACTACCTTAAATAACATCTTAAACTCACAATCCATTCATGTTAATGCTATCTATATTATAAATGTAGGCACAGTTTAATAATAGGTCATCACTGCTTTTGACAGGTTTTTACAGCACAAGAGGAATACTGCAGAGACTCCACCAATGGGCCACTGAGCTGATGAAGGGACTAAAGCATCTCTCATATAAGGAAAGGCTGGGAGAGCTTGGACTATTTAGTCTGGAAAAGAGAAGGCTCAGGGGGAAATCTCATCAACGCCTACGAATATTTGGAAGAAAGGTGCAAGGAAGGCAGAGCCAGACTCTCTGGTGGCATCCAGCAACAGAACCAGAGGCAACAAGCACAGACAAACACAGGAGATACCATATGAACATCAGGAAACTCTTTTATTGTGGGAGTGACCGAGCGCTGGCTCCCTCACCGCAGATATTCAAAAGTCTCCTGGGCAGCCTGCTCTAGAGGACCCTGCTTGAGCAGGGAGGCTGGACAAGATGACCTCCAGAGGTAGTTCCTACATCATTCTATAATTCCCTGAAAACATTTTGAGAAAAATACTTTTCTCATTTTCTAAGTAAAAAGAAAGCTATCACATGGCACAATAAACAAAAGGCACAGACTATTGTACTTAACATACTTGGGTTTATGTTTGTGGAGTAGAAAATAAGAACATAAATGTATGTAAACAAAACTGTAAATAGCTCTTGTACAAAGAAAAAAGTATAACAAACCAAAATTTTAGTCTCGATATCTCAGTTTCATTTGTTATGTATTTTGGCAATCCTAGAAATCAGTTGTTGCCAATAGTACTGTAGTATTGTTCTTTAGTTTATTAAAAAAAAAGTGTAGGATCTGTCATCTAAAAAGCTTTCAAAAATCTGTTTTCGTATCTGTAAAACTACTTAATGACTGTGAAAACGCATCTAAGTTTGAAGACATGCAGCAGTAAAAGAAGTATTTGTATCACTAAAAGTTGCAATACAAGACAGAAATATTGAAACCTTTAATATCTCTGGACAACAGAGCTTTCCGACTTACTACTACCTAGAAATAAAAAACTGACATTCTGATCAGAAACAGGCTACTTATGTAACAATACTTGTAAGGATATTCATTGACCAAAATATAAAATATACATATCAAAAACTTTCAGTTACAGAAATCATAGTCAAGGGGGGGTTTATAACAAAGTATCATTTTCTTTACAAAATTAAGAGGAAGGTAAACTCAGTCTAATTTTTATACTTAAGCATTTTTAGATTGCAAAAACTGAAACTTTTATGTTGCATTTTAGGAGTGATTTTTTTTGTTTGTTTAAATCGGTTTACTCAAAGACACATTCAGAAAGAGAATCTGTATTTTAAATTTTGCTTTTCCACTGTGTGCACTTTGTTTTTATGTTCTTAAAACACAGAATATAGAACTAACAAAAATGGCTCTGAGGATAAAAGTACTTAGCAAAAGCAAATCCTTCACAAATAGTGTTTATATTACTACAAATAAACCCAGTGTTTTCTTTTTAAAGAAAAGCTTATCATAGTAGCATCATTCACACGATTAGAATGAGAAGTTCAGTCAGCACTTTGACTATAAAATGTTTTCTGTTTACCACAGCACAATACAGATTTGACATGGACTAAACTAGAACACAAAAATATTCACCGACATGATGACTTCATTTAATCAGGAAGACGCTGTCTATTTGCAACTCGTTTACATGAAACAATCAATACTTTCAGATACTCTGCATCCTCACATAGCAAAGGTTCCTCCTTCGGCAATAAACCTTTCGTCAAATCCATACCTTCCTAAATAAGTACAGAGTTAGGTGAAATGGGACAACACTGACAAAGGGAACACACACACACAGTCTCTCACAAAATTTCTGACATGGAAGATTTTCACTATAGTAGAAAACTAATGATGTGTAAAACCAGTGTATGTTTGGGGGGATTTTAACACCATTTCTCATCTGAACTGATTCTACAAAGCAAAGTCACAGAATGAAACCTACATTAATTTAGTAATAAACCTGGTATAAGCCTGACATCACAACGGCTTCACATTTAACATGCAATCATTATTAAAAATTGCTCTCCAAATGTAATATTTTTCTTTTCAATATATCACTAATTTAAAGAAGTTTATAGTTTTGTAGAGTTTTAAAATATATGCACTGGAAATTTACAGTAAGTTAGTTCAGTTATCCTACTTAAATCTGCCTAATTCTGTTATAACATATGGAGAACAAACTCATCACCCTCCCCACCTTCACCTTTGTTATAGATTCAAAGGAGGGGTTGTTTGATTTCCCCAATTAATTTTAGTCTTCAAACTGAAAATAATAGAGCATTTCTGTGTTTAAACAGAAAAATATTGAAGAATACAGAAGACACAAATTATATTACATCACTGCAGGAAGAATCTCTGACCTTCTAGAGTCACAACACAGGACTCTCAGATTTCCAAACGTAGTTATAAAGAAAACAAAGTGTATCACCTTGTAGCTATTCACCCATCTTCCCCCTTAAAAACAAGATTATGAAGACCTAAAGCCCAAACTTACCCTTAGGAAAACAAGGTGCAAAGTAAGATGATCCTGCTGTGATCTTCCTGCAGTAATGTCAGGCATTTAAACAGTGTCCTTCAGTAAGTCCTTCCCTGAGGGATCTGAAAAGAAAAAGTAAGATTTGTTAACTATCCCACGATTATGAAAGCAGAAACAGCAGTCAGAGAAGGTACAACACTTCAGCTATGCGTGAGGATTATTTTCCTCATTTTAAACCCAAAACAGAACTCAGAGCTCGAGCTGGCGTTTCTCTAAACTTAGAGGGTTTAAGTCCTGTAAGCACAGCTATTAAGGCTTGAGACAGAGAGCACGAAATTCTTAAGTGACTGATTTCATAGGTTTAACTTGGTATTGTAACAACACCTCGGTGGCAGAGCGTCTTCAGAAAAAAAAAAATAACACCTCAGATAACACACAAAATGTGAAATACAAAAATCATTGATCACTTCCAGAAGAATCTGGAATTCTTAAGTTTCTAGACCATGTTCTGTAAGATAAAGTCAGTATAGTCAGGAAGTATAAAATATATAAAATGAATGGATGTCTAAACACGTGAATATACATTTTATTACTAGAAAAAAAAAGTACAGTCTACATCAAAACCCTTTTACCTGTAGTAAAGCATTTCTAAATTAAAAGGCCTCAGACTGTGACAAATCAAAAATTGAAAGCATAGTTGTATTTGAATGTTGTAAATTCTCAACTAGGATACAAATTACTAGTATAACCTTGATAAGTGTTGATTTTACTGCAGGGATGCTGCTACAAACCTAAATGGAACTCCTAAAACGGAACTCCTTTCCACAGAGCTTCTTCAGTTTATACTCACACAAAACACAGCCTTGGAGCGCCAGGCCGGCAACACATACTAAGATGCAGAAAAGGAAAAGAATCTGATGCACTTGTACTAGACCATGATGTAAGCCACTTTTAACTAAGGAAAAGTGTCATTTTTAAGCAAGAAGCAGCCATATATATGCCAAACTTAACATCAAGAAAGTACAGCAGAGCTGCTTCACTTAAAATTATATTCTTAGTAATTCAACTTTGCTTTGGAAATAATACAACTAACCAAAAAGTCCAAGCTTTAGTAAACGTTCTTTTGGACACAGAAAGGTTCAGCAACAATGATAAACAATATATCGACACCACAATAATACTGTAATTCTCAATCTGTGGTACCAAGCAACACTAAAATCATTGAGCAGTGGGCTATCAGTCCCACGCTAAGCCTGGCCTAGCTGCAAAGCTGAACTCTCACTCAGAAGAGAAGGCAGGAGGTCAGTCCCATTGCCCACCCTTCCCTCTTAGCTGTGGCTCTCCTCTACGCCCACAGCCAGGTGAGCAGTGCAGAGACCAGGAGACAGAGCAGGGCACTCTGAAGAGGATGTGGAAGAGGAGAGGAGAGGAAAAGTGTCTCTGCTTGCAAGAATGTATCTGGCGGAGGGGGATGGCAGCCCCTTTGCCAGGCAGGCTGCCACAAGAGAAAGCTCAACGACAGGCCCCCACGAGATCGGCCAGAAGTATTAAGAGGCTGGAGAAAGCCTTGTTTTCCAACACGACTCCCAAAGCCTTCTGAGCTGAATTCAAAACAAGAGTATAGATTGCCATATTATTAGCAACTAATAAATACCAAAATAGTTAATCACCTATCATTAGTTAGCAATTGTGGCTGCACAGGAATTTGCAGATGGGTCCAGAGCCAAGAAAATCACTTAGAGATAAATTCTCTGAGTATTCCTGAATACCTTACGAAATTGCTTTCTGAGCCTAAAAATGTTTACCATCTGCAGACGTAAAATGGCTGAAGCAGAAATGTTTTCTGAAAGACCCCCAGAACTGCTCAGGACCAACAACTATTCAAGGCAGCTGCAAACAACGTCAACAGGGAAAATAGGAGTGTTTTTCCTCACAGTCCTTTAATTGCTCTGTGATATTATCTAGATGCAACAGTTTACAGGCCAGTATTTTTCAGGGTCAGTTTAAATTACCATAGTCTTGCGATAGCGTGGTGTGGATTAGCTGGCCAAGCAAAGAAAAGCACATATTAAAAAAAAATAATAAAGTCCATCACAGTGTAGTCAGCTTTGCAGGGGATATGAATACGCCAACAGAAAGTTCCTGTGACCTCTAGAGCAGATCACAAAGTAAATTCTAACACATTACATATCACTGAAATGGTTTGCAGAATGACTTTT